TAATAATATTTTTGGTACAGATCTATCTAATTTTCACTAAAAAATTTATCTTTTAAATTTATCTAGATAAGTCAAATATTTATCTAAAATAAATACTTAGATAACTTATATTTATTTATCTAGATAAGATAAAAAATAAAATAATTATTATCTGGATAATTTATCTAGATAAATTTATCTAGATAAGTCCTAACACTGGTTACAAGTGGGTTACTGTAATGGATGGAATTAAATTTGAATCCAACGATATTATATCATTGTATACGAAAAACAATTCTGAGTGGAGACGGTTTATCCTTATAGATTATTAAAAATTTTCAAATCTTAGATTTAAAAAGAAAATTTTTTATGAATATCTAGCTTAAAATAATTTGCGAATTTTCGTGATTTTTACATATGTTATCAAAATTCAAAGATTGAATGCTTGTAAAAAAAAAAAAAAATGGTGACTACGTATTTATTTTATTTTTCAATATCTATTGTAAAAATATGTTAGGAGCCTTGTATTAAATTTTCAGATCACAATTATGAAAGGAAAAACTTTTATGAATTTATAACTAAGATAGTTTGAACATCGCCGTAATTTTTACGTATTCAGTCAAAATTTGAACTTTAGATGCTTATAAAAAAATCGTACGTATTTTTAAACTGCTATTGAAAGAATGTATTAAAAGCCTTGTATTAAATCTTTAAGCTTTTCTACTTAATTTTGACAACATATGTAAAAATCACGAAAATTTGCAAATTATTTTAAGCTAGAAATTCATAAATAAATGTATAAATTTCATTAAGAGAAGTGGCAAGAAAATCTTCTAATTTGGGTAGCCAAAAGTACGATAGGTGTACTTGCAATACATTGTGTAAGACCAACCGGTTTAAATGTAAAAGATCTGGTCGTCTTTGCAACTCAAAGTGTCATAATAGTGGTGTATGTGATAATAAATAATAATTGCAATTTAATAATAAATTAATTAAATATTAAAGCTGTGCAACTTTATTTATTTTTAATAATATTTTTAATTTTTCAATTTTTTATTTTTTATATAATATTCAATATTTAATCTACTGTGTCCAAATCTAATTGGGCACTGTATACAATGCCAGGGCAACGTTAACTTATTCCAACTTTGCCCTTGAAAATCGGGCATTGTGCACAGTGCTCGGTCATTGTCCACAATGCTCGACTTTCTACTTTGCCCGTAACATATATACCATCTAATAATAGTATTCATAGAAGAGACTTCTGACTCTTTTCGGTTCTGTCCTAATGAGTGCCCCTTAAGAATAACCTGAATTAAGGCCCTAATATTTTGAGAATTTTTTTAAACTTCAGTTTCTCATACTACTTAGGAAACGAATAGTTCTTAAAATTATTAGGTATTACTGTTGATACAAAAAAACTATTTTAATTTTGTTATAAATTCTGATTTCTGATTGGGGAGATTGTGTGTTTTTTTCTGTCATCACATGTGTCGAAGCAACAAAAGTGCTCCAACCTTCAACCTTCGACTTGGAGGGTGATTTCTAGCAGAAAACTATAGATCTAATCGATAAATTTAAATGCTTAAAAAAACTTTTCTAATTTTTTCAAAACCAGAATATAAAAGGAAGTTCAGCTGTTTTTGATAAGATCGATTTTTTTTTTTGTGAATACTGAAACTGTATTTTTAATTTTCAACAAATATTTACATGAGCATTTTATAGATATGACATAATTTTCCAAATACTTTAGCTCAATTTCAGCTATTTATGGATATTAGTATTATCAATTGATCGAAATTCGACCAGAAAAACAGTTTAAAAATCAAATATTAATATATTATATTATGCTCTATAATATTGCATTTCTTACCACACATAATTTGGTATTCGAACTTGTGATTCTTTTCACAAACGTTTTATACAGAAAAACTGGTGTGTTTAGATTTTAAGTCTTAAAGTGACAAAAAAAACAGACTTAGCTTTTTGATGAACATTTGAATAAGTTATAATTAGTTATGTTACTAATTTATATATTTCATATTATATTCTATTATAATGAATAATGATCTAATATCTAATATATCTACTATCATATTTTTGTATTTCATTTTTAAAAAGATTTATATTTAGTTAACAAATCGTTAATATGTGTAAACATGTTTGTAGTTAAGCATTAATATTTTAAATTTTATAAAAAAGCATACAATTTTA